TAGTTCCAGCTGCACTGGGGGCGGCTCGGGGGAGCCCTTCGAGGGGCCGGGCCCCGCCTGCTGGCGCCCCTTGATGTTGTACCGCCGGCGCAGCTTCCCCATGGCGACTAGGCCCAGGTGAGCGCTTCAGCGGGTCGGACCACCAAAGCAACCCGAAACTCAGCCCACGTGGGTTCCCGGACCACCAACTCCGGCCGTGAGATTTCCGGGTTACGTTATCGCGAGAGCTGTAACTGACTGGGCCGATGAGGGGCGGGGTTGGAAGAGAGACCATGCGAGAGGAGAGGCGGAGCCGGGCCAGGAAGGGGGCGGGGCTATTTAGAGAAGTAGGCGGGGCCTGAGGTCCCCGACCACGGCGACGTTTAAGTCCGGGGCTGTTCTCGCTTGCGGTAGTCTGGGTTTAAATATGAATTATATCTACTGATACTAATTTGGCTGCTTGGGAGTGGAAGTGTTTTGCCACCTTTAAAAATACACCCCACGCCCAATACTCCAAACTTCTTCCCCCCAACCCTGGTTTGCGCATCTGCATTTTCTGATATTCCTACAAGAAACGTATTAGTCGTGTAGTTTTAAAAAGGCACCAAATATTTCCATCCCAGGGACAGATGGAAGATCTAAAAGGAGGCCTCTACGGGCGCGGTGGCTCACGCCTGTAATCCCAGCACTTTGGGAGGCCGAGGCGAATAGATCACAAGGTCAGGAGTTCAAGACCAGCCTGGCCAAGATGGTGAAACCCCTGTCTCTACTAAAAATACCAAAAAAAAAAAAAAATTAGCTAGGCATGGTGGCAGGCGCCTGTAATCCCAGCTACTCGGGAGGCTGAGGCAGAGAACTGACTGAACCCAGGAGGTGGAGGTTGGCAGTGAGCCAAGATTGCATCACTGCCCTTCAGCCTGGGCAACAGAGCTAGACTCTGTCTCAAAAAAAAAAAAATTAAAGTTGTCTATTAGACATCACATTGTAACACACTGGGAAACAATGCATCATTATTATTATTATTATTATTATTGAGATAAGGTCTCTCTCTTTTTTTTTTTTTTTTTTTTTAGAGATAACATCTCGCCCTGTGGCCCAGGCCAGAGTGCAGTGGTGCAAGCACCACTCACAGCAGCCTTGACCTCTCCTCCCACCTCAGCCTCCTGAGTAGTTAGGACTACAGGGACACACCACCACGACTGGCTAATTTTTCTATTTTTTGTAGCGATAGTGTCTCCCTATGTTGCCTAGACTGGTCTCAAAATCCTGGGCTCCAGGGATCCACTTGTCCTCCCAAAGTGCTGGAATTACAGGTATAAGCCACCATGAAGGCCTTAATGACATTTTTAAAAAAGCATAATCAGCGTATCATATCTGTGGGGTTTTCTGTTTGTTTTCTTGTTTTTGTTTTTTTGAGACAGAGGTCTCCCTCTGATGCCCAGGCTGGAGTGTAGTGGAGCAATCTCGGCTCACTGCAGCCTCCACCTCTCGAGTTCAAGCGATTCTCCTGTCTCAGCCTTCCAAGTAGCTGGGATTACAGGCACCCACCACCATGCCCATCTAATTTTTGTATTTTTAGTAGAGATTCACCATGTTGGCCAGAATGGTCTCAAACTCCTGACATCAAGTGATCCCCCCACCTTGGCCTCTCAAAACGATGAGATTACGGACCTGAGCCACCGAACCCAGGCTCACATCTGTGTTTTTATGGATTTTGTTGCTTAGGATGACAGTGATCTAAAGTTTCTTTTTTAAATGTGTTTATTTAAATAAATTAAAAGTTTAGAGGCTGGGCACGGTGGCTCACGCCTGTAATCCCAGCACTTTGGGAGGCCGAGGCTGGCGGATCATGAGGTCAAGAGTTCGAGACCAGCCTGACCAACATAGTGAAACCCCATCTCTACTGAAAATACAAAAGTTAGCTAGGCGTAGTGGCGTGCTCCTGTAATCCCAGCTACTTGGGAGGCTGGGGCAGGAGAATCGCTTGAACCTGGGAGGCGGAGGTTGCAGTGAGCCGATATGGCACCACTGCATTCCAGCCTGGGCGACAGGGCGAGACTCCGTCTCCAAAAAAAAAAAAAAAAAGTTTAGAAAACCTTTAAAAAATGTTAAATAGGTATTAGTACACTTGCCTATATTTCCTTCTAAAATGTAATATATCAATGAATTACCTTCCAGATGGTATAGACCATCCTAGACAGCAAGAAGAAGGCAGGTACATAACAGAATGGATGGATCTCACAAATATAAAGTTGAACAAAAGCCGGGCATGGTGGCTCACACCTGTAATCCCAGCACTTTGGGAGGCCGAGGCAGGCGGATCACCTGAGGTCAGAAGTTTGAGACCAGCCTGGCCAACATGACGAAACTCGTCTCCACTAAAAATACAAACATTAGCTGGGTGTGGTGGCACGTGCCTATAGTCCCAGCTACGGGGAAGTCTGAGGCAGGAGAATCGCTTGAACCTGGGAGGCAGAGGTTGCAGTGAGCCAAGATCATGGCCACTGCACTCCAGCAGGGCAATAGAGTGAGACTCCGTCTCAGAAAATAAAAAATAAATAAAAAATAAAGTTGAACAAAAGAAGCCAACCCCCAAAGTCGTACTGTGTGGTTCCATTTACATAAACTTCAAACACATGAATCCCCTAAATTTTAAGAGGAGCCTAGTGAATGGGAGGGGACAAAGGGAGGCTTTGGGGGAAACTGGTAATGTTTCATTTCTCCATCTGGGTGCTGGTTACCTTGTGTATTCAGCTTGTGAAAATTCATAAAAATGTATATGATTGTGTATTTTTCTGTATATTATACCTTAATTTAAAAGTTTATTGTTATTTTTTGTAGAGATAGGTCTCACTATGTTGGCCAGGCTGGTCTCGAACTCCTGCGTTCGAGCAATCCTCCTGCCTTGGCCTCCCAAAACAGGCATGCGCCACTACAGCTGGAGTAAAAAAAGTTGTTTTTTTTTGTTTTGTTTTTGAGACAGAGTTTCACTCTTGTTGCCCAGGCTGGAGGGCAGTGGCTCAGTCTCGGCTCACTGCAACCTCCACCTCCCAGGTTCAGGCGATTCTCTTGCCTCAGCCTCCCAAGTAGCTGGGATTACAAGCAGGCGCCACCATACCTGGCTCATTTTATATATATATATATATATATTTTTTTTTTTTTTTTTTTTTTTGAGACAGAGTCTCACTCTGTCGCCCAGGCTGGAGTGCAGTGGCCGGATCTCAGCTCACTGCAAGCTCCGCCTCCCGGGTTCATGCCATTCTCCTGCCTCAGCCTCCCGAGTAGCTGGGACTACAGGCGCCCGCCACCTCGCCCGGCTAGTTTTTTTGTAGTTTTAGTAGAGATGGGGTTTCACCGTGTTAGCCAGGATGGTCTCGATCTTCTGACCTCGTGATCCGCCCGTCTCGGCCTCCCAAAGTGCTGGGATTACAGGCTTGAGCCACCACGCCCGGCCATATTTGTTTTATTTTGTTTTGAGACAGAGTCTCACTCTGTTGCCCTGGCTAGAGTGCACGATCTTGGCTCACTGCAACTTCTGCCTTCCGGGTTCACGCCATTCTCCTGCCTCAGCCTCCCGAGTAGCTAGGACTACAGGCACCTGCCACCACGCTCGGCTAATTTTTTGTATTTTTAGTAGAGACGTGGTTTCAGCATGTTAGCCAAGATGGTCTTGATCTCCTGACTTTGTGATCCGCCTGCCTCGGCCTCCCAAAGTGCTGGGATTACAAGTGTGAGTCTCCGCGCCCGGCCTCATTTTGTATTTTTAGTGGAGACGGGTTTCTCCATGTTGGTCAAGCTGGTCTCGAACTCCCGACCTCAGGTTGCCCGCCTCAGCCTCCCAAAGTGCCAGAATTACAGACGTTAACCACCGCACCCGGCCTACAAAAAAGTTTTTAAAAAGATAAACAACACAGGAAAAAATGTGCAAAGGATATGAATACATAATTCAAAGAGAAGTAATTCAAATGGCCAATAAATCTATGAAAACCTTACTAGGAATCCAGAAAATGTAAATTCAAAAATAAGAGCCTTTTTTATTCTTTGGATTGGCAAAAATTGAGTTTTATTTTCTTGGTTGTCTAAAAATAAAGTTGGTTAGACTTGATCTGTTTGATTTAGGATGCAAACAGGGTCCTTGCATTGCATGGGTCATTATGGCTCTTAAGTCTTTAAAACCAATTATCCTCCTCTCCGCTCACCTTTTATACCGCTTATTTATTGAACGAACTGGGTCGTTTGTCTCGTTGAATGCCCCACATGATGGAGTTGGTTGGTTGCTTCTGCTGCTTGTAAGTTTTCCTTATCTGCCATATTTCCTGTAAACTATAGGTTTGATCTAGAGGCCCCATCAGGTTCATGCTCAACTTGTCTTGGCAAGAATCCATCGCAGGTGGCGCTGGTACTTCCTGGCACTAAGATCGATTGGCGGGGCCGGGACTTCGCGGCTTGGCCCCTCCATTTTCAAGTTCCCCGCCAAACCCTCGCCTCTTGGTTTTACTCATTTCTGATGATCATCGTGTGAATCCATCATTCCATTGAGGGGTGCCAAATAATTTTCAGATTCTCTCATTCATCCTCATGTATTAGCCGGACTGTGCTAAAAGAAAGTTTCCCTCCCCTACTATTTTGGGGCTCTGAAATACAGTTCATTCAGGAAGAGGAGGATGCCTGATGCTTTCTTGTTATTTAAAATTTTCAGAATGAATGAGCTGATGCCCACGAGGGCCAATTTTGGGGTACCATTATAATAAATTCAGGGAGATTACATATATGTCTATTTCATGTTTTCCAATCAGTTGCGGTCACTTCCCTGGTTGAAGCTGTTTCAAGTTTTACAGGCACGGGTTGCTTTCCCACGGATAAGGTAAAAGAAATAATTTTTTTTTTAATTGATGAGAAGCCGTACCGGGTCGGGGCAGGCTTCCGGGAGGCGGGCGCGGGGCCCTGGGGCCGGGTCGCGTTGGTCCCGCGCCGGGGGCGGGGCGCGGCGTGGGCTGGGCCGTCGCGCCTTTGCGCGCGGGGCGGGGCGGGTGGCGCAGCAGCGGCGGCGGTGGTGGGTAAAGGCGCGGCGCGCGGCCCCCGAGCGCGCCAACCCTGCCCTAGCTGGAGCCCGCGGCAGCCCAGCGCACGGCCCTCACCCCGCACCGCGACCCCGCACCCCGCCGGCCGAGCATGGGCGCGCGCGCCTCAGGCGGGCCCCTGGCCCGGGCCGGGCTCCTGCTGCTGCTGCTGGTGCTGCTGCTCGGGCTGCTGGCCCCGGGCGCGCAGGGGGCGCGGGGCCGCGGCGGCGCGGAGAAGAACAGCTACCGCCGCACGGTCAACACCTTCTCGCAGAGCGTCAGCAGCCTGTTCGGCGAGGACAACGTGCGCGCCGCTCAGAAGGTGGGCGCCGGGCCCGCGCCCGCGGTCACCTTGCCCCGGCCGCCGCGCACCTGGCTGCCGGGGCCGGCCTGGGAGGAGCGCGGCCTCCGGGGCTGCCCGCCCGGCCGGCGCGCGGGAAGGGGGTCCGGCCTGCGCCTCGGGGCCTGCCTCCTGCGGTCCCCGCCGGGCCTGACCAGTGCAGGTCTGGGCGGCCGGGCCTCGGGCCGCCCTCTCCTCTGCGCCGCGCTTCTCCTTGGACCTTGCCCCTGCGGTCGGCGCGGCCAGAGTCTCTCCCGGCTGAGCTGACGCCCGCCGCGCGTCTCATTCATTCATTCACCGCGTTTGAATGGCTCCTACTGTGAGCCAGGCAGCACGCTGGCGCCCTCGGTCTCCACGCGGCTGCGCCCTCCCCAGCTACTCAGGGTTTGTCTTAGCCTCGCATCCCGACCTGCTTCCCCTGGGACCTTCTGCCCCACTCCTTCTCCTGCTTTGAAGATACTTGGAGTTGTTTTTACTTTACAGGAAAACAAGGAAGCAATACGATTTGCTCGGTTGCTTTGGGAAACCCGAGGACCTACTATGTGCGGGGCTTTTCGCGTGGGGTCTTTTGTTTAGTTTGGGGAGGTCCAGGATCCTGCAGCCTCCTGGGAAGGGTGTTGAGTCCCAGGAGGAGCGGAGGGAATTTTCCCCAATTCCTGCTCTCTGGAGCTAGGTGGGATAGGGGTGCCATTCGGGCCGAAGTCTGCCGACCAGCTCCTGAGAAGGAGGAAGTTCCTGGGGACAGTTGTGTGTGGTATTGCGGTTCCTTTGCTGTTCCCTGGGGAGGAGGGAGGTCTTGCTTGCTGCCAGCCTTCCTGGGGTTTTGGAGTCAGAGAAGCTTGGGTTCAAGTTGGAGCTCTACCAGTTAGGATGGCTTTGGGGAAGTGACTTCACTTCTTTGAGCCTCAGTTTCCTTATTTGTTAAATGGGGATAGTAATCATTCCCCTTCATTGCAAGCTTGTAATTATGAATAGTTGGTACCTTCCTGGCCCGGAATCATGGCTGAAAAATTAAAGTTTTCTGCTCATTGAGAGGGAGTGGGGAATAGAAAGGAACATTAAGGCCCAAATAAGATTGACTGGATGTTCTTACTGGATAAAATGAAAGGTTAATTTATTAGGAAAACGGTAACTTTTGACTTCCCTCTCCTATGGGCAGGAGCACCTCTTGCACAGGTGGGTCTGTGTCTTCATACATGTAGGGGAGAGAACGCTTTGTAGGTGACCAAGGAGGGGCAAAGAAGCAGGGTTGAACGCCTGAATGTGAAAAGGTTGCCCTGGAGCCTGGCGAGGGCGGGATCCGGGGTGTGAGCCCAGGCAGCCTCACTTACTTCCTCTTGATGCTGTTCCGGAGCCGTTTGAAGGCAGAAATCATTTGTTTTAGAGCAAAAAGAAGCGTGTCTTTTTCACGCAGGGATCCCCATGTCTCAAGTGATGGCGGTTCCATGTGACAATCAAAGGCCAATAAACAGGAAATATGAGTGGATATTTAAGACTTAAATAAGACAGTCTATTCTGGCAGAGCATCTGTGAATCTGGGGGTCAGAGCTCTTCCTGGGGTAAACCAGGGTTTGTACCTTTAATGGAGATGCTAATGATTACTAAGTGCTTTTGTAGATAGAATAACCTTATATAATCCTTAGAATGATCCGGTGCAGTAGGTAGTATTACTGTTCCCATTTGACAGATGAGGAAACTGAGACACAGAGCAGTGAAGTGGCTGGTTTCAGGTCAGATGAGTGGCAGAGCCAGGGTGTGAACCTAGGCAGAGTGGACATGGAGCCCACATTAGTATCTCTCACCTGTTTTCCTGCCTTATGACCCCTTCCCTGTTCCCCGAGTCAGTGCAGCATTCAGAGGCTGACCTGACTTGTTTTTTCACTTTCTTTTTTTTTTTTTTTTTTTTTTGAGACAGAGTCTTGCTCTGTCGCCTAGGCTGGAGTGCAGTGGTGTGAGCTCGGCTCACTGCAAGCTCCACCTCCCGGGTTCACACCATTCTCCTGCCTCAGCCTCCCGAGCAGCTGGGACTACAGGCGCCCACCACCACAGCCGTCTAATTTTTTTGTGTTTTTAGTAGAGTAGGGGTTTCACCATGTTAGCCAGGATGATCTCGATCCCCTGACCTTGTGATCCACTCCCCTCGGCCTCCCAAAGTGTTGGGATTACAGGCGTGAGGCACCACACCTGGCCGTTTTTTTTGTTTGTTTTTTTTTTTTTTTTGAGACGGGGGTCTGGCTCCAATGTTGCTTAGGCTGGAGTGCAGTGTCATGACCTCGTCTCACTACAACCTCCACCTCCCAGGTTCAAGTGATCCTCCCTGCTCACACTCCCAAGTAACTGGGATTACAGGCACCCGCCACCATGCCTGGCTAAGTTTTGTATTTTTAGTAGAGATGAGGTTTCACCATGTTGACCAGGCTGGTCTCGAACTCCTGACCTCAAGTGATCCTCCTGCCTTGGCCTTCCAAAGTGCTGGAATTACAGGCGTGAGCCATTGCACCTGGCCTGACTTACTTTATTTCCTGCTGACTGTAGCCCAGACTGGCCAGGCTTGGGGATATTGTTTTGTTAATTTTATGGTTTTTTAAAAAAATTTAATTAATTTATTTTTGGAGGCAGAGTCTTATTCTGTCACCCAGGCTGGAGTGCATTGGCACGATCTTGGCTCATTGTAACCTCTGCCTCCTGGGTTCAAGCGATTCTCCTGCCTCAGCCTCCTGAGTAGCCAGGATTACAAGTGAGCACCACCACATCTGGCTAATTTTTTACGTTTTTGGTAGAGACAGGTCAGACTCCTGACCTCAAGTGATCCGCCCGCCTCAGTCTCTCAGAAGTGCTGGGATTACAGGTGTAAGCCACGATGCCTAGCCTGTTTTGTAAATTTTAAATAAAAGAAAACTGGGTCTGCTAGCAACTGTAGTTTTCAGCATGCCTGGGTTTACTAATTAAAGCCAGATCTGCTTTGTGGGTTGTGAAGTTTGATGGTATTTTAAAAAAAAAAAAAAAATCTTTTTTTTTTTCCGAAATGGAGTCTTACTTTATCACCCAGGCTGGAATGCAGTGGCGCAGTCTTGGCTCATGGCAACCTCTGCCTCCCAGGTTCAAGCAGTTCTACTGCCTCAGCCTCCTGAGTAGCTAGAATTACAGGTGTGCGTGCCACCACACCTGGCTAATTTTTGTATTTTTAGTAGAGATGGGGTTTTCACCATGTTGGCCAGGCTGGTTTCGAACTCCTGACCTCATAATCCACGCCTCGGCCTCCCAAAGTGCTGTGATACAGGCGTGAGCCACCATGCCTGGGCCCCCATATTCTAATCTAGGACTTGTCTGAAATAAACTTATGACCATCCTGTTTGGATGTCATGGGAACAGACATGAGTTTGAATCCCAGCTGTTTCTCACTCGCTGTGTGACCCTGGGCCAGTTGCTTTGCTTCTTTTTTTTTTTTTTTTTTTTTTTTTGAGATGCAGTCCTGCTGCTTCTCCCAGGCTGGAGTGCAATGGCGAGATCTCGGCTCACTGCAACCACCATCTCCCGGGTTCAAGCAGTTCTTCTGTGTCAGCCTCCCAAGTAGCTGGGATTACAGGTGTGCACCACTATGCCCTGCTAAGTTTTTTATTTTTTGTAGAGACGGGGTTTCACTATATTGCCCAGGTTGGTCTCTAATTCCTGGCCTGCAGTGATCTACCTGCCTCAGCCTCCCAAAGTGCTGGCATTACAGGCATGAGCCACTGCGCCAGCCCCTGTTTTTAAAAATGAATAAATAGGCCGGGCGCGGTGGCTCAAGCCTGTAATCCCAGCACTTTGGGAGGCCGAGACGGGCGGATCATGAGGTCAGGAGATCGAGACTATCCTGGCTAATACGGTGAAACCCCGTCTCTACTAAAAAATACAAAAAAACTAGCCGGGCGAGGTGGCAGGTGCCTGTAGTTCCAGCTACTCGGGAAGCTGAGGCAGGAGAATGGCGTAAACCCGGGAGGCGGAGCTTGCAGTGAGCTGAGATCCAGCCACGGCACTCCAGCCTGGGTGACAGAGCGAGACTCTGTCTCAAAAAAGATAAAAATAAAATAAAAATAAAAATGAATAAATTTGGAGGACTGCGTACAGTGGCTCACGCCTATAATCCCAGCACTTTGGGAGGCCGAGGTGGGTAGATCACCTGAGATCAAGAGTTCAAGACCAGCCTGGCCAACATAGTGAAACCCTGTCTCTACTAAAAAAAATTAGCCAGGCATGGTGGCATGTGCCTGTAGTCCCACGTACTTGGAAGGCGGAGACAGGAGAATCACTTGAACCTGGGAGGTGGAGATTACAGTGAGTGGAGATCATGCCACTGCACTCCAACCTGGGCAACAGAGCAAGACTCTGTCTCAAAAAAAAAAAACAAAACAGGAAGATCAGACCTTTTCAGTACCTAAACTTTGCTTCCTCCTTGTGAAGGGCTGCAAAGAACACATTGCTGTAAGGATGTGCCATCATTGAACCTGCCCCTGGTGGCTAACATTTGGTCCTGTCTCAGGCCACTCCAGACATGGCTGCAGTTTAGGTCTTTCTATATGTATTGTGTGCACGTAGACAAGTTCATCTGTAAATTGTTAGAAATGGAATTGCTGAGTCAAAGGGTCTGTACATTTAAAAAGAAGTTTTGTTTGTTTGTTTGTTTGTTTTGTAAGAGACAGGTCCATGCTCTGTCACCCAGGCTGGAATGCAGTGGTGAAATCATAGCTCACTGAAGCCATGAACTCCTCGCTTCAAGTCCTCCCAACCTCAGCTTCCCAAAGTGCTGGGATTACAGGGGTGAGCAGTACTCCCTGCTCTTTTACACTTTTTTTTTTTTTTTTTTTTTTTTTTTTTTTGAGATGGACTTTCACTCTTGTTGCCCAGGCTGGAGTGCAATGGCACGATCTCGGCTCACTGCAACCTCTGACTCCTGGCTTCGAGTAATTCTGCTTCCTCAGCCTCCTGAGTTGCTGGGATTACAG